TTTAAATATTATAATTTAATTAATTAAAAAAATCCTTCATTCTTCTCTTTCCGAATCAAATATATTATAAAATTTTTTAAATCCAACTAATAAGTACTCTAGTCAACAAAACCAAAAATTAATTAATTAACTAATTTGAAGTCTCTATCCATGTACAATAAGTCCAACAACAGCAAGTCATTATATAAAGTAAGGCTGCAAAGCTGGCAAATAACACTGGCAAATTAACACTCTTACCAAATCATGCAGAGATAACAACAAATGATCTTTAAAATATGATCCTGAACGGCTTAAGAATTAAGCCACAAACAGAAGAAAGCCACGCGCAGTACATATTAAAGTACCTGCACAATGCAGAAACTAGCTAGCTATAAACATAATCCAAAAAGTAATTAATGGGGTTAAACTTAATTCATACTTGATCAGAATAAATAAAGGGGTAGCTAGGCTTGAGATAGATTAGTCCAAAAGGAACAAAACAAAATAAGTACAGTAATTAAGAAATAAATATTCAAAAAGTCTAATTAGTTTATGACGTTGTGTGCTGCTCCAATCCGATTAGCACAGTTTCCACAGACAAGTAGTAGTAATTAATTAATTTTTATGCCATCAATGATAAATAGTGACTTTGAAAGTTGAAACAATTCTTTCACCAAAAAAAAAAAAGTTGAAACAATTCAATGAATGAATGCCAAATATATATGAACTATTAATTTGTTTATTTAACTTATCGAGGTTTTCTTTAGGTAAAATACCCAAATTCACCCCCAAAGTATAGTGGTAGGGACGGATCCACCTTCGAACAAAAAACAGGGACAAATCCACCTACAAAGTTTTCGACTTGGACAAATCACTCCAAATTTAACGTGTGACGTCATTTGACATCAGCAATTCGTTAATTCGTTAACGGATTGCTGACATCAGATGACGTCAAATTAACAGATTGCTGATGTCAAATGACGTCACATGTTAAATTTGGAGTGATTTGTCTAAGTCGAAAACTTTGTGGGTGGATTTGTCCCCGTTTTTTGTTTGAGGGTAGATCCGTCCCTACCACTATACTTTGGGGGTGGATTTGGGTATTCTGCCTTTTCTTTAACTGTATGTAGGAATATAGCATATAATAAGGATTTTTTCATTTAGTATAGAGTTAATGATGTGATTATTTTATTTTTTTAATATTAATTAATATTCTAAAAAAATAGAATTTGATTATAAGTAGGATATTTCTTTTGCATTATAGTCATTATAACCTGTTTGATTATAATTAAGTAGAAATAGAATTTGAGCGTCAAAGGGGCAGGGCATGAAGCATGCCTGATATTTTCAACAAATGAGGAATGCAAATACAATGTCAATACAAGTCGCTAATGGCTGATTTGTCATTTTATATCCAAGCTCAAACCTTGTAAAATGCAACTTTTCTTTTTAACAAATACTTTTCCTTTTTCTTTTTTATTTAATATTTATTTTTAGTTACCATAAAAGTTATAAGAGATAGACATTCCAAACTTCTAGCTAGAATTTTAAATTTATTATTGAATTTTTTTAAATTGTACCTAGCATAAATTAAAAGTGCATTGAATCAAACTTTCAGATTCAATGATT